GGTTTTCTGTTTCTGTTTCTTTTTTTTTTTTTTTACGCCTTAACAATTTTTTTTGGCGTTATTTATTTTGGTTCTTTTGGGCATTAATTTTTTTTTCTGTTTTGTTTTGCGTTTTCAGCATTATTTTTATTTGCGCTTTGCGCTTTATGTTTTTTTCTTTGCTTTCCTGGATTTATTATTTTTAAATTTTTGGGCGTTAATTATTTTGCATTTTGGCCTTTTATTTTTTTTCATTCTTTGTACATTTCCTTTTTTATTTTTTTTTGCATTTTTTCCCCACTATTTATTTTTCGCTTTATTTGTTTGCACCCAAATATTTTTTTTTGCATCTTTCCGGCATCAAAATATTTTCTCCGTTCTTCTCTTTCCTTCAAAAATATTTTTTTCTCTTCACCTTTTTCTACCAGAATATTTTCCCCTGTATCTCTTTCCACCAAAATATTTTTCCCCTTCGTGTTTTCCCATTAAAACATTTTTTCCCCTTTCGTCTTTTTATGTTAAAACATTTTTTGCTGTTAAAACTCGTCGCTTTAAAGCGCTTCGCCTTAAAATTTTGTCCATTAAAAATTTTGTGCGTGAAAACATTTGTTCATTAAATCATTTGCTTATCAAACGCTGCTTCACTGAACCGTTTGCGCCTTCAAACATTTTCGCACCGAGCCCTTTTCGCCTTAAATTTTTCGCTTTAAATATTTTCCTCCTTTCGATTAATTCACGTTAATTTTTTTCGCTTTACATTTATTTTTTTTACATCAATAAAAAAAACACTTTTTTTTTTTTTATATGCGTAATTTTGTTCGGTTCTATTGAGGAAAACACACGTTATTTTTTTTTTTTTTCCCCCGGCCCGTGTTTCTCGCCGCGGGGCTCGGCCCAGCACTCCTCCCCGGTGCCCGCGGCCCCGGCCGGGCCCCCCCCGGGGCCCCCCGCGCCCCCCGGCCGCGCTCGCCGCCCCGCGCCCCTTTGTTCGCCGCCGCCCGGCCCGTGCCCGGCTCCCCCCGCAGGATCGGGCCCCGCGGCCCCGGCGCTGCCAGAACAATGACCCGGCGGGCGGGAGCCGCGGCCGGGCACCGGCACGGACCGAGAACCGGGGCCGGGACTCCGCGGCGACACCGGGAAACCGGGGCAGGGCACCGGGGAAATAACCGAGGAACCGCGCAGAGGAGGGGTCCGGGCACCGGGAAATACCGGGGAAGTGGGGCTGGAGGGAAACCGGGGAGATACCGAGGAATCGGGGCTGGGGACGGAAGGAAGGAAATAGTGGAAGCGCAGCGAGGGAGGCGCCGAGCACCGGGGACACAACGGGAACCGGGGGAGCCGAGGGCGAGCGGGGGCCGAGCCTCGGGGAGATACGGTCGGTGAGCCGGGGGAGATAGAAGAACGGAGCGCCGGGAAACTGGAGCTCGGCAGCGGGGAGGAAGGGCCGGAGCAGCGGGAACCGGGCCCCGAGCTGGGGGTGGCCGTGCCCGGGCTCCGGGGGATTGGGGTCGAGAACCGGGGACACCGGATAAAGGAGGGGGGGGCTGCGCTCCGGGAGCACCCGGAACACGGGGGGGGGGCTGTGCCTTCAGGAAACTGGGCACCACGAACTGGGGGTGCTGGGAAAGCTGGGGGCTGCAAACCGGGGGTACCGGGGAAAGGGGAGCCGTGCTCTGGGGATGGCGGGGAAACGGGGACCGTGCACCGGCAGTGCCGGGGAAACCGCGGCCCTGCGAGACGGAGAGAGAGGGAGCTGTGCACTGGGCAAACTGGGAGTAGGGTGCTGGGCGAGCGGGTTTGGGGCTGTGGGGAGGGCCGTACCCCCAGCCTGGCCGTGCTCTCACTCTCTCCTTTCTCTCCCCCGTGCCAGGAGCGGAGGATGAGCCGACAGCCCCGGTGCGGAGCGCGGCAGGACGCCCGCCGAGCCAGCCCGGCGCGGCGCTGAGCATCGCCCACCAGCCGTGTCGGGGTCCCGCCGAGCCCCCCGCGGGTGGGTGCCCCCGGCATGGACGGCCGTGACTTCGCGCCCCCGCCGCGGCTGCTGTCGGAGCGGGGCAGCCTGGGCCACCGGCACGGCTCCGGGCGCGTGGCGGGGTCGGCACACGGGGCCGTGCAGCCCCCCGGACACTTCCAGCCCACCAAGTACTTTCCGGCGCCCATCTCCATGGCCACGCACACAGGTCAGAGGGCGCGATGCGGCCGCGGCGCGAGGGGCCGGGAGGGGTGTGGGGGGCTCGGCACGGCACCGGGAGCTCGGCCTCCCTTTGTGCCGATCCCGCTGTCACTGCGCCTGGTGGTTTGGGGTGAGGACTCACACACACACACGGGGACACGGGGGATGTTCCCCCACCCCGCTGCTCCGCCGGCACGGGAGGAGCGTGGCCCCTGGGCCGCTCTGGCGAGATCCCAGTGCCTGGACAAACGGGCGCGCTCGGGGGAACGAGGAGGCCGTTATGTGCGGGGCCGTGGGGCGGCGGTGGAAGGTCACCGAGCCCTGGCTTGATGTTGGGCACCGAAGTGTCAGGGTGCGAAGGGGTTCGTGGCGCGTGTTTGCCGCCGGGGCCGGACAAAGCGCGGCACACGGCTGAGCCCCGCACGGGCAACCGGCACTGCCGAGGGGTCACCGCATCCGGCGGCCACGGCCAGCTGCCCCCGTGGCTTTGTCTGCGGCATGTGCTCGGCTGCAGCCGGGCAGGGCTGAACTGGGGTGCACTGCACCTAAACTGGGGTTCACTGCATGGAGGGCTTTGAGTGTGCAGCCAGCGGGGCCCCTGCTGCCACCGCTGAGCTCCGGGATGGAGCTGGAGCGGGAGCAGGGCTGGAGCGGGTGCAGGGTTGCTGGCTCGGCGCGGTGCAGCACCGGGGCCCCCTGCTTCCCGCCGGCGCGGGCGGTTGTCTGGCCACGGCACGGCGGCAGCGCCGGTTATTGTCGCCGCCTTGATGAGCTGTGAATACTAATAAAATTATATCTGCTTTAATGGGATTACAATTAGTGCGTGGATTAGGGCGGGGGGCACGGCCGGGCCGGCGCGGGGGGGGGGGGGGGGGGGGGGGGGGGGGGGGTGGCAGCAGCGGGGGCTCCTGGAAGAAGGCAGAAACCGGGGGGCACCGGGGGGTGCCGGGGAGGTAGTGCTGGATCGGGCCCGCGGCCGGGGCGGTTTCGCTTTGTGCCGGCGGCCTCACTGCCGGGACCACCGCCGGGCTGAGGGGGCCACCCTGGCTTCCCCCTGCTTTTGGGGACCGTGGGGCGTGGTGGGGGCTTGGAGCCTGTCCCCAGGGTGGGGGGTTGGGATGGGGGCTCGACTGCTCTCCGGCTCACAGTGGCCGTACGGGGGATCCCGGGGGGACGCCAGCGCTGGGTGCTGCTGGCTTCTCTCCGGCTTCCCTCCGGCTTCCCGGCGTGGCGGTGTCCCCGTGCTGGACCCTCACACCCACCGGGGCCTGGGCGACACATGGGAGCCCGAACGCACCGGAGGTTGTTAAAATAACATGGATCTGGCTAAAAATACCCCGGCAGAAACGCGCCGAAAAAAAAAAAACAGAGAAGCCAAACCCAACAACAGAACGAGCTAAAAATATTCCGGCTTTGGCAGGGCCGGCGCAGCCGGAGCGCTTCCCAGCGAGCTGCGCTCCGCAGCTCCACACGGCTGGAACGCCGCTGGGGCGGATAAACCGGATAATTTAGTGGCCGGCGCAGTGCCGGCGGGAGGGGGGTCCCTGTCCCCAGCACCCCGCGTCCCCCCAGCATGGCCCAGCCACGGTGCCGGCAGCCGTGGCAGCGTGGCGTGGTAATTAACGCCGATGATTGATAATTACCCCACCCAGTGCACGGAGCCAGCCCGCGGTTGGCCGTGGCGTGGCGATGCCGGCGCGGCACGCGGCACCCGAGGGGCACGGCGAGACTGGGGGGCTCCGGCCGCACTCCCCCAAATGGCTCCCGGCGTGGGGCCGGACTACACCTCCCAGGAGCCTTTGCTGGGGCCAGCGGCCTCCCTGGGAATGGGAGATAAAAGTGTTTTCCTTGATTTTATTAAAGCCGTAACTCAGGGCCGCGCGTTGCTGGAACTGAACGCTCCGGCCGGCGTCAGGTTTGGCACCGGCACTGGGTGGATGATGGCAGGGGGCTGGGGGGCTGTGGCACTGCCTGGTGCTGGGAGATCAGGGACCCCCAGAGCTGCCTGAGCCCACCCAGACCGGGTGCAGCCCCCACACCCCGATTGCGGTGGGTCCCACCACCCCGACACACCCTGTGCCGAGCAGGGCCGGGGGTCCCAGTGCCTCTGCCACAACCAAGGGGTGGGAAACTCTGGCTGAGCCGCGCTGGGGCCTGGATGTGATTTTTGTCCTTCGGATGTTTTTCTGGACTAGTGGGGAGTTGTGACTGCGCCGGGCTGATCGTCACTGTGGCCGAGCCCTCGGCACACGGCCTTGGGGAACGGCGGCGCCGGGTTTGCTGGGAGCAGCGCGGCCGTGCCGGCGGGCGGCTTGACCCCGGGGGTGCCGGTGTGCATCTCGGTGCTGGCCTGTAGCCTGGCCTCAGCAGTGCCGGTGTGCATCCCGGTGCCAGTGTGCAGCCTGGTGCTGGCATGCAGCCTGGCCATGACAGTGCAGGTCCCAGTGCACATCCCGGTGCGGGGTTTGCATCCCGGTGTGCATCCCGGGGCCGTGAGTCGGTGGCTGGATGTGCTCCCACACCTGTCCCCTCCCTGGATTACGCTGCAGACCGGGTGCTGTGCGGTTCCCTGACGTGGCTTTGGGGGGGATCCGTGGGGAGGTGGTGGTGGGGACAGTGCCTCTGGCCGGGTGGTGACACAGGGCCAGGTGCCAGCACTGCAGCCGCTCCGCATCGCTGCTTCCCTGGAGACAGGTCTCATGAGGGGCTGGAGGCTGAGGTACGGCTCTGGCACAGCTCTGGTGCGGCTCTGGTACAGCTCTGGCACAGCTCTGGTATAGCTCTGCTGCAGGGGCTCGCCGCTCCCCTCGACCCCCTGAGCCAGCCCGGCCATGCCGCCGCATTTCCAAAGTGAGTGTCAAAGTTAAACCAGATTTGACCATTAACTGGGCTGCTCCTCGGCAGCCACGAGGGGCAGGGGGCCACATGCGTGGCCAGCAGGATGTGCAGGTCCCCAGATCCCACCGGATCACCCTGGGTCTTGCAGAATCATTCCCGAGTGGTTCCACTGTTCCTTAGTCATGAGCTGCATCCACGCGGAGACGCTACCACGTGCCGGGCCCTGGGGGGACGGGCAGCTGCTGCCAGCCCTTGTTGCTGCTCAGGGGACACGGGGGGTGGGGGTGGGCTCCACGGAGAATCTGAGAATTCCTAGAACTCCCTTGGCCCTGCCTGCACCTCACCTGCCTCACAGCATCACCCCAGGGCAGGGTCTGACCCCGCTGGGTGCTGGGGTCCCTCCTGGAGGGAGCAGGGGGGCATGAGTCCTGGTAGCCCCTTGGGGTCACTCCCTCCTGGGACCCTGCACTTGTGACATTCAGTGACACGGGGTCACCATGGTCCCCACCTTTTGGGGGTTTCCCCAGGGGTGTAGTCCACATACTTGCTGTCTGCGTGTCCAGCCAGGGCTGGACCCTCCCTGGCTTCCCAGTGCTCCAGAAATGGTTTTGCACAGAATGTGTGTGTCAGGTTGTGCGGTGGGTGTGCAAATAGTCTGTGCAGGCAGCGTGCACTGAGCACATGTGTGTGCCAGCCGTGCCAGTGGTGTGTGCCAGCCGTGCCAGGAGTGTGCACCACCCTTGTGATCGCCGTGCACACGCAGCCCTGGTGAGTGTGCAAGCGCAGAGTGCGCAGCAGCTCCAGCCAGGACAGCTACCTGTAGCCCTCTGGAGCAGATAACCCATCAGATAACGCTGGGATTGCCCCCCTGGCTCCTTCGGGCACGTTCCGGCAGCGTTTCACCATCACGGCGTTCGTTTAGTGCCGTAACAATATGGATTCAGCTGGAATTACAGCACCGGGGGAGCCAGAGCCTGTTTATTCCCTGTTTGCCAGATTTTTAAAGGGGTTGTGTGGGTTGTGAACTCCGAGGGGGGGGGAGCTGGGGGCTGCACCCCACCCCCTACCTGGCTCGGGGAACCCCAGGGTGCCAGGCTGCGGCGTGAGGGTCCCTGCCAGCTCCCAGCCCTCCGCCCGTGGCCCTGGCTCCGTTAGGAATGTTCCAGCCCTGAAATAGCTGAGGGAGAAACCCAACCCTCTGCACGTCCCCCCTGCCACCGCCGCGGGGACCCGGGGGCTGTCACCACCTTGGGGACCCCAGAGCAGCCATAGGGTCAACCCCCCCGGGGCCACAGCCCCTCCCACACACCCCGGCCCTGAAACTTTCTGCCTTCCCGGAAAATTCCCATCTGCGCCACACTTGGAGCGGGGGCGAGGAGCAGCTGTAGGGAGGGGAGCACCTCTTGTTGCCCCCCACGGGTCCCCCCAGTGACCTGCCTGCACCCGCAACCCCCCGGCACTGTTGTTGCAGCCGTGCTGAGACCTGGCACACTTGTCACACGTGTGACTCTCTGTGGATTTGGGGCCAAGGGAGGTTTCGTGCTGGAGCCGGGAGCGATGCCGGCGGGGCTGAGTCACGGCACTGGCCTCAGGGAGCCCGGCCAGGGAGTTCCCAGGGTGACGCTGCCGGGGGGCAGCAGGGGGGGCCAGGGTGGGACCCCGCAGCCCATCTGTCCCCTGCTGGCAGCCAGCCCTGCGCTGCTGTGCCCGTCCTGGCACGGGGCTCCTCCAACACTGGTGGCTCATCGTTGACGTGAGTTGTGCATGGTCTCAGGAACCTGTGGCACAGGGCTGCTCTGACACTGTGGGCTCATCGGTGACACGAGTTGTGCACGTTCTCGAGGACCTGTCCCTGTCCTCGCTGTCAGCATGGCTGGAGGGGGCAGGATGGGGGCTTCTCCCTACCCATGCTTTGTGGTGAGCCGTGGCAGAGCACAAGTGTGCCAGGGGCCGTGGTGAGCAGGCGTGCGAGGCGGGTGGGAATGTGGGAATGGCAGTGCTGGCCGAGCGCACCGGGGGACCCGTGAGTCAGCGGGTGGGCGGGGGGGAGCGGCGGCCCCATGGCCCCCCCGGGACATCCCAGCCCCACCGCCTTTGGGGCGGGGTGGGGGGTTATTTTCTTCCAACCCTTTCCACGGCTTCCAGAAAAGTCTTGTTCTGGAAACCTCGGCTTCCCGCCCGGCACAGCCGCCCAGCACGCTGCCGGCTCCACGCCTGCACGGGGTCCCCCGGCACAGCTGGGGTGCAGAGGTGGGCTGGCTGCAGGCAGCACCGGGCAGGGATCTCCCGGGATGCATTGGCACAGTGGGATGTGCCCACCCATCCTGGTGCGTGTCCGGTTCCCAGGGCTGCGGCCGTGCCCCCGGCCCACGCGGTCCTGCCCAGCTCGGCCTCTCCGCGGAGGAAGGAGCGAAGCTGCCTGAAACCACATCCCGACACTCATCCCAGAGGCATCCCGGCGGGATTAGCCGGGGAGCGTGGGCTGGCTTAGAGAGCAAAGCATCGCTTCCTGCCCCGGCCGGGCGGGCGGCCAGCCCGCGCTCCGCGCCACGCCACGCGCGCCGAGCCGTGCCGAGCTGTGCCGAGCCGTGCCATGGCCACGCCGGCACACAGGGTCATGGGGACCAGGGCCGTGCAGTGAGGGGCAGCTGCTCCCCCATCCCCATTTCCCCTATCCTGGCTCCCCCCATCCCGGCTCCCCCCGCCCGGCCGCTGGCCACCAGCTCCAAAGTTTCCACCATGATCTCACGGTTTGGCTGGGATGGGAGCAGGATGGGGGGCGGGATGGGGAGCGCTGGCCATGGGCCTCCCCAGGGGTGCTGGGGGCCCCCCCAGGCTGTGGGGGAGGTGGTGGGGTCAGGATGGGAGCTGCCCCTGCCCCTCCTTGCACACGTGTGTGCCCATACATGTGTACAGACATACGTACACACTTACATGTGTACACACATTGCGTGGCACAGCCTTGGGCCCCTGGACCTTGGGATTGTCCCAGCACTGGGAGCAGCTGCGTGGGGAGCCACACACATGTGCAAAGCCTCCTGTGTGCCAGCACACGTGTGTGCTCTCAGGGCACGCACAGGGCAGGGCACCAGTGCCCCTTACACGGCTCTGCTACCTCTCACACGCCCTGGTGCAGTGTGGGGCTGGGGGACGTGAGGGGCACGAGGGCTGCGATCGCACAAGGACCACGTGTGCTCACGGGGGATGTGTGTGCACGAGGGATGTGATGGCACAAGGGCTGTGGTCACGAGGGACATGATCACGAGGGACATGTGGCTCACAGGCCACGTGTGCACAAGGGATGTGGTGGGTGCTCAAGGGCCATCCGTGCACGAGGGACGTGTGAGCACGAGGGAGGTGATCATGTGAGGGACGTGTGTGCTCCTGGACTGCGTGTGCACGAGGGACACAACGACACGAGGGACACGCGTGCTCAGGAGGGCTGTGTGTGCACAGGGGATGCACCAGTGCCGAGTGGGCTGCACAGCCCCCTGGGAACCGTATGCACACGTGTGTGCAGGAGGGGGCACGGCGGGTCATGTGTGTGAGCAGGGCCTGTGCAGCCCCCCAGCTGCATCCTCAACCCCCCCAGATGTGTCCTCGGCCCCCCTGACTGTGTCCTCTCCCCACAGCCGGCAGCAGCCTGATGGGGAGCGCCCCCCCATCCTCCTTCATGGGGGGCTTCCTGAGCAGCAGCCTGGGCTCGGGGGGGCCCAGCCACCCTGCCGGCCCCGCCGCCTCCCCCCCAGAGCCAGCCTTCTGCGGGCCCCACTCCGGCACCTCCCAGATCTGGTTCTCCCACTCCCACGAAGGTGAGTGGGCACCGGGACGTGGGTGGGTCAGGGAGTCCCTGTGGGTGGTGAAGATGTGGCCGGGGCTCTGCCCAGTACCAGTGGGCCATGTCCCACCGGTGCCTGTGTGGATGGGATCCAGGCCCCCTGGACAACTGCTTCAGGGTGATGATGTGGGTACAAGCAGCACTGTGCCCCAAATACCCCCTGGGCATCCACGGGAACCAGGCTCAGCCCCCACAGTTGGGGTTTGGGGTGTCTGGAGAGGCTCATGCAAGGCTGCAGACCCCCAGCCTGGGAGCTGGGCTGAGGCCGGGCCAGCTTGTGTCACTGGTGATGACGGGGCAGGTGACAGCGTGGGGACCCCCAGGGCAGCCCTGGTTCAACTGACTCCCCTTGCCCCCCCCGTCCTGCTGGCGTCCCCATCCCGCCGGAGGAGCGGGAGCGGGGCGGCGGTGCTGGCGCGGGGCCCTGGCAGCCGGCCCGGCTGGTAGTTTGACCGGCTGCCAGCTGGCTCCCGGCGTTCGGGGGGGCACGGGGGGACGGGGACGGGCAGCGCACGCGGCTGACGGACAGCCCGCCCGGGCCGTGCCGAGCCGAGCCAAGCACGGCCACTGCTGACACGAGGCTGGGGGGGCCTCAGCCCCCTCCCCGGTGGCTCCCGGAGGGCGTGGGGGGTCCCAGCATGGAGGGGATCACGGGCTCTGCAGGGCGTTCCCAGCCAGAGCGCTGTGGGTTGGGGTGCTGGGTGATGTGCCACCCCAGCCCCCATGACCCTGTGCCCCCAGCCCCGGGGTACCCCCGCTTCTCTGGGAGCTTGGCCTCCACCTTCCTGCCCATGGGCCACCTGGACCACCACGGCAACGGCAACGTGCTCTACGGCCAGCACCGCTTCTACGAGAGCCAGAAAGGCAGGTACCGGGGCCGCCAGGGTACCAGGGTCCCCTGTGAGAGTGCGTGTCCCCAGCTGGGCAGGGTTAGGGGGCTCAGTGCCTGTCCCACTGCTGGTGTCGGAGTGGGGGGCTGGTGCCAGAGCAGATGCCCAGTGCTTGGGCAGCGGGTGGGGTGGTGGGCATCTGTCCCTTCATCCCACTCCTCCTCTCATTGGCACGACCAGCGGTTGGGTGGGGGGTCCGTGGGGGTCTCATGCGTTACCCTCCCCTCCAGATAACTTCTACCTGCGGAACCTTCCGGCGCAGCCCCCCCTGCTCCCTGCCAGCCACGGCTTCCCTGGCATCACCCGTGCCGCCCCCGGGCCCCCCGCCAGCTCCTGCAGCCGGGAGCGGGACACCGGCCCCCTGCCCAAGACCCCCAAGGACTACGAGCGCTTCCTGGTGGGCAAGGAGAAGGGGGGCAAGGGGGACCCCAAGGAACGGCTGCCCGAGGAGGACCCCAAGGAGCGGCACAAGGCGGTGCTGCCTGTGCCGCCCGAGGGGCACTGCAAGGAGGGGGTGCCGCCGCGGGGCTCCGGCGATGGGCGCCCCAAGCCCTTGGCCTCGTGCCTGCTGGGTGCCAAGGGGCTGGACGGTGACGGCACCCGCGCGGCGCTGCCCAGCTGTGCCGGGAATGCCCTGCCCCGCGCCACCCGCTGCGCCCCCAAGGAGCGGGAGCCGGGGGTCCCCGAGGCACCACAGCCCTACGGCGAGGCCGTGGAGCGGCGGCAGATGCTGCACCACGCCGTGTCCTACGCCGTGCCCGCCGCCGGCTCCTTCCCCTGTCTCCCGCTCCACGCCGGCCCCGAGGTGCTGTGCCCGCTGCCCGAGCCCCCCACCCGCGAGCTGAAGCTGAGCGGGGCCACGCTGGTGCCCTCGGTGGGACCCCCGGCGGACAAGAGCCGCTCGTTCCAGGTGGAATCTGGCGGGATGGAGCGTGGGGACGGCAAGGAGCGGCACACCGAGGCGGGCACCGAGCCCTACGGTGCCCCCTTCCACCACCCGCTGAAGGCCGAGGGGTCAGCAGAGCGGCGGCTGGACTGGGGGGCTCCTGGCACCCGACTGAAGGGGCTGGAGTACCTGGGGGGCGGCGCAGCTGAGGGACCCCCCTTCTCCAGCCGGTGCCCGGCACCCAAGGGGGGGCTGGAGAAGAGCTACTTTGAGGTGCCACCAGCCCCCGACTGCTCCCGTGCCCCCCGCCCCGACCCCCTGGGCGTCCGCGTCGGCCCCTCCTGCTGCACTTTAGAGAAGGGCCCCCCCAAGGACCCCCCGGCCCAGAAGGTGGCTCGGATCCGGCACCAGCAGCACCCCGAGGCGGAGGCGGCCGAGGGCAAGCGCAAGCCCCTGGAGCTGGGTGCCCTGGGCTACAGCGGGCACCCCCTGCCCCCCTGGGGGGTGCAGGGCCAGGGACCCCCCTTGGCCGTGACGGAGGAGCGGAAGGGGGGACCCTACCTGGACCCCTTCGGTACGGGGCTGGTGCGGGCGCAGGAGGTGCCCAACGCCCCCGACGAGGTCTCGGCCATGAAGAACCTGCTCAAATACAGCAACGGGGCCCTGCTGGGGGGGCAGAAGGGCCCCCCCTTTGTGGGGCTGGCGGGCACCAAGGGCAGCTGCGCCCACCAGGACGCCAAATTCCCATCGGGGAAGGGGCAGCTGGAGCTGGAGCGACCTGACTGTGCCCGCGGCCGGGAGCACGAGGCGCTGGGCCCTGGCGGCACCGAGGGCGAGGTGCGGCAGCCGCCCGTGGGCATCGCCGTGGCCGTGGCACGGCAGAAGGACACGCTGGGCCGCCACGAGCCCTACGGCAACGGCGGCACCGGGGGCACCGGGCGGCAGCGGGCGGCGGCCGGAGTCAAAGGTAAGGGCTGGGGAGGGGGCCGGGGGTGGCAGGGGGCTGGTGGTGCCACACTGATGTCACTGTGGTGTCCCCGTGGCAGCGGGCACCGCACGCCCCGTGCACCTGATGGAACTGGAGGCTGAGGAGGAGCGGGGCCGGCTGTGCGAGGAGCGCCTGGGGCTGCCCGGGAGGGACATCCTGCTCCAGTGAGTGAGGGGGGACTGGGGGGGCTGCTGGGGGCAGGGGGAAGATGGGGGTCCCTGGGGTGCAGGGAGGGACATGGGAGACCCTGGACTTCCTCTTGGGAATGTGGGGTTGGAAGAGGGGGTCCCTTTGGGTGTTTTTGGGGGTACGGGGCAGGGTGATGGGGTTCCTGTGCTTTTGGGGGTACATGGTGGGACCTGGTGGTCCATGTGGGTGTTGGTGGTCATGCAGATGTGGGAGATGGGTCCCTTTTCGGGGTGCAGGGGAGAGTGATGGGGTTCCTGTGGGTGCTGCTGAGGGTGCAGGGGTGGGAGACGGGGGTCCTTGGGGGTGCAGGGGAGGGTGATGCCAGTGCTGCCCCCACACTGTGTGTATCCCCCTCTTCCCGCAGGGACAGCAAGGACCTGGTGGAGTTTGCCCGGATGCACCCGTCGGGGGGGTGTCCCGGGGAGCTGACCCCACACCTGATGATGGCGGGGGGCTCGTCACTGCCGGCGGGGCAGCTGGGGGGGGACCCCGCCGCCCACGCCCACCCTGCGCACACGCACTGGCTGCCCCGCACCCGCAGCCCCTCCATCTGGATGGGGGGGCACTCCTACGGTCAGTGGGGGGGCTCTGGGGGGGCTGGGTGGGTGCTGACCCCCCACAGTGGGGTGCTGACAGACCCCTCCTCCATCCCTGCAGGCATCGGGCACCCGGCACTGCACCAGAACCTGCCCCCCGCCTTCCCCACCTCCATGCCCAGTGCCATGCAGCCCGTGTTCCCCCTCGCCCAGGACCCCCCCGCCCAGCTCGTCATCCTCCCCACGGAACCCCCCGCCCACGGCACCCCCCACACGCTGGGTAAGGCTGGGACCCCCACTTTGTGCTGGGGAGGGGAATCCTGGGTGCTGAGTGGGGCTGTGGGAGAGGAGATGGGGTCCTTGGGGGTGTAGGGTGGGAGATGGGGATCACTGGAGTTACTTCTGGGGGTTTGTGGGTCGGTAGTGAGTTTTCTGTGGGTACTGTTGTGGCTGCAGGGTGCTTTTGGTGGAACAGGGGAGCGTGTTGGGGTCCTTTCAGGTACCTTTGGGAGTCTAGGGGCGGGAGATGCAGGTCCCTTCAGGTGCTGCCAGGGTTGCAGGGCTCAGGTTCGGCACCACTGTGGTCTGTGGGGTGACCCCGAAGTGGCTCCCCAATTGACTCCCTACCCTCTGCAGCCGACGTGATGGACCAGGCATCGCTGTGGCCCCCCATGTACCCGGGCCGGGGTCCCAGTGCCCACCTGCAGCACACGGGGCAGCTGCCTGTGTACCCACGGTCGCAGTTCCTGCGGCAGCAGGAGCTCTACGCCCTCCAGCAGCAGCAGCAGCAGCAGCAACGGGCAGCCCAGGCCCTCGAGATCCAGCGCCAGGCACACGGCCAGGTGCCAGGGGGCTGGGGGATGTTGGGGGGCTGGGGGTGGAATGGGATGTGGGGCTGGCTGGAGGATGTGAGTCAGGATGGAGGTTGGGGTGGAGGGTGGGGATGTGGGGCTGGATGTGGAGGTTGGGATGGGAGATGTGGGGCAGCGCTGGGAGGCTGGGAACAGGCAGAGGAGCAGGGGCTGGGCAGAGATGTGGGACTCGGATGGGGGGTGGGGTTATAGGGTGCTGGGCTGGGTGGTGAGGCAGGAGTCTGGGCCATTGATCTGGGCTGTGTGGGGCTGGATGAGGCTGTGGGATGCAGGGCTGGGCTGTAGGATGGCAGGCTGTGGGGCAGGGACCAGGCTGTGGGGCAGGGGCTAACCCATGTCACCTCGTTGTCTCCCACAGCGGAAGCCGGAGGAGCAGCCCCTGGAGCTGGAGGAGGGGGGTCCTGAGAAGCCCCTCAAACCCTCCCACAAAGCAGTTGCCTTAAACCCCCCAGCCAAGGGCCTGACCTCGGCGGCCCCCGCGCCCCCCAAGCTCTCCCCCTGCTGCCACTCGCCGGCCCTGCGGCACCAGGCCAAGTGCCCGGTGACCCTGCCCACGGCCCCCTGCACTTTACCCGCCTGCCCCGCCGCCAGCCCGGCCGTGGCCCCCCGCTCGCCGGCTGCCAGCCCCCTGCCCACCCCCAGCAAGGGCAGCGAGGGCGAGGACGCGCGGGGTGAGGGGCAGCCCCCGCGCCGCTACCCCAAACCCCTGGAGCCAGGTGAGTCCGTGGCATCGAGGAAGAGGAGGGCAGTTGGGGGGCACCGGGGGGTCCCCGCTGATCATCACCCCCTCCCCGCAGACCTGCCCCCCGGGTATGGCTACCCCGCCGCCACCATGGGCTACCCCGCGGCGCACTCGGCCGAGCCAGCGGACCCCGACCCCGTGCACGCCGGGTCCCCCCCCGCCGAGCCCGAGCAGTCCCGGACCTTCAGCCCCACCACCGAGGCGCTGCGGGAGCCGGGCCCTCCCCGGGACCCCCCGGCCGAGGGTCCTGGGGTGCTGCTGCACCGACACCACCTGCTGCTCCCCCCGGGCCCCCTCTGCGGGGAGCGGGGGGCGGCGCCGGCTGCGGGGGGCACCGAGGAGCCCTTCGGGGGGCACCGGGAGGCGGCTCAGGGAGCACCGGAGCAGCCGGAGCAGCAGCACCCTGTGCCCGGGGTGGGGGGCTCCCCGCTGCCCCCCACTGCAGAGGAGGAGGAGGAAGAAGAGGAGGAGGAGGAAGAAGAGGAGGAGGAGGAGGAGGAGGAAGAAGAGGAGGAGGAGGAAGAGGAGGAAGGCGACAGCGATGGCTTGGAGCCGGAGGGCAGCTGCGATGAGGAGGAGGATGGTGATGTCCCCGTCAGGCACCAGGGCTGCCCGGGTGGGCTGGAGGCTCTGATCGCCGCTGGCATTGACCTGGGGGAGCTGCCAGCACTGGACGAGCCTGAGGAGCCTCCCCCTGCACCCCCTTCGCCCGCCCCCCACCCCTCAGGGATCCCCGGCATCGCCCTGCTCAGCGAACTCGCCGACCTGGAGCTGCGCCGGCGCCGCTGCGACCTGGCCAGGGAAGGTGAGTGACCTCCGGTGCCCCCATCACCTCTCAGTGCCCCCGGTGCCTGCTGGTACTCACTGGCATCCCCGGTGACCCCTGATACTCCCTGGTGACCTCAGTTGTCTCTGGTACACCCCAGAGCCTCCACGTGTCCCCGGTGCCCCCTGGTGCACCCCAGTACCCCCGGCAGCCCCTGGCACACCCCAGTGTCTCCAGTACACCCTGTTCCATGGGCATGGCAGGCTGCATTCCATGCCATGCAGGCTGCATTCCATGCCATGCTGCCATGCCATGCCCCACTCGAAGCCGGGGCTCTGCTCCAGCGCTGGCTCCAGGCAGGCGCTGGGATTCCCTCCCCGCTCGGCTTCCCCAGGGAATCCCAGGGGCCCCAGCAGGGATGGCCGCTCACTGTCCTGGCATGTCCTCATTCCTGTGGGTGTGTGGGAGTGTGGCGGGGGGGATCCCCTACTGAGTGTGGAATGGGAACACCGTGGGGTGAGGGGTTGGCTGTGGGGTCCCGCTCCCCACAGATGGGGTGACCAGATGGGGCAGAGGGGTGGCCATGGCATCCCACTCCCTACAGATGGGGTGACCAGATGGGGCACGTTATGTCCCTCCCGACCACAGCCAAAGGTCTGCTCCCAGCGTGGAGTCTGGGATGTCCTTCCTTGCTGACCCTGTCCCGTCCCCACAGGTGAGGATGAGGAGCTGCTGGCCTTCAACCTGCAGAACCTGGCCACGGTGGCGGCCGCCTGGTCGCTGGTGGAGGCGGTGGGGCGGGAGGGCAGCCCCCCCGCGCTCAGCCCCCTGCCCGCCTCGCCCCCGCCCCGCGCCCGCGTCCCCCGCCGCAAGTACACCTGGACCCCCAAAACCAAGGCCGTGAGTGTCTCCCGGCGGGGGCGGGAGGTGGGATGAGTTGTGCCCGGTCTCAACACTCCGACCAAGGCTGTTGGCACTGCCAGCGGTGCCAGCAGCCTCCAAACGCCCCCCGGCCCCCCAG